TCATCCATTTGCAAAAGTGTAAACATGAATCTTGTGGCAAATTTCCTCACAATTTCAGAAATGTAAAGCATTAAAACTATAGATCAAAGACAAACATGAATTTTAATGGCCCTAATCTGAACCCTAACTTTTCTAGAAATTTCAATCTTAAAATTCTCTAAGCTCAAGCAACATAAATGAAAACTATGGACATGGTTAGCTTCAGGGCAATGATATCTACACTTTTCATTCATAAATTAAACATTAATATGAAGAATTCCAAGTTAAGGAAACTTACCTCAAAACTGGAAATCGTGTTCTGAGTTTGAACACTCCCCAAGGTGTTGTGATGATCATAATAGCTCCACTGAGGTCTCAGGAAGCTAATGCAATGTTTAGTTTGTACTGGAGATGGCTGAGTCGTGCTGGAGAAGTCCAAGTGCAAAGCTCTATTTTTGAAAATATAGAGTGGTGTTAATGGTGTTACAGTCTTGTAACAGGGTGTGGGATGAGTTCTAAATGATGTTTAGAAGCTTTAGGAACAAAAACGCTTGAAAACGCACGAGGGGGATGTGAGTTTCAAACTTTTGGTCAGGTTATGCAAGAATGGAAGTATGTGTTACAAATCTGAGTTCTTGAGAGTTTTTGGGCTTGTGTATGCGTGTGTTTTGATGTCAATGACTTGTACATAAGTAATGAGAATGTTTGAGTGCTTGAGAGAGTCAGAAGTACAAGCCCTAGACTGATTGCTATGTTACTTGATTTTGAAGAAAAGTGAAAGTATGGTTCCAAGATGAAGTACAAGCATGGGCTGAGTGATTATGAGGCTTGAGACAAACTCCTTTTGAGTTATAGGTCGTGTATGATCAGAAGAAAACCATTGCACGGCTCAAGAACAAGTTTTGTGTATAAAGCTACTTTTCAAAATGGCACTGTGCACTTTCTTCCTAAAATGGACATAAAGCATGAGCATTACATTGAATGCTTGAGTTGAAGCCTCTAACAGCTGTGCAAGCATTTAATTATGGAGTGCCTAACAAGTTTGAGGACTGAAAATCAAATATTATGCAGCATAGGTTTGAGATTTGAATTTTGTTCATCACAAAGTTTGCCTTGTAAAACAACTTGAAACCCCAACTTTTGACCTTCGATTCTCCTTGCTCACAAATGATCTCTATGAGTTCTTGGACATTTTGGAAAGATTTTAATGTGCTATAAAACCCCTATTTGAACCACTTTTTAAAAATCCAAATGTAACTATGTGAAACTTGGGTCATAAGTTAGGTCAAAATCCTGATCTAAAATGCTCAAAAATTCACTAAGTGTTTAGTTTCAAGATCATGACTTCATGAATTAATAACTTGAGATCCAAGAATTTCTAGGAAAAGTTATGTAAAGAAATGTTGTAGATCTCATGGAGATCTACAACTTTCATGTTGAAAGTTTCTTTTGAATCATCTTGCATCATGGTGAAAATTGGCTCAAAGTTGTGAAAAAACATGAAGTTTTCAACACTTAGAAAAAATTTTAAGTTTGAAAACTTTGACTTTTCAAAATGAAATCTTGACTTTTTTGATTTCTTGATGAACAAGTTTCATATTTTGACATGTTTCGATGAATTGTAATTTTGACACTTGATTTTGACCAAAAAGTCAAAGTTTGACTTTTCAGTGTACAGTTGACTTTTGATCAGTTGACTAAAAATCAACTATTAATCCAATTGATCTTGAGCAATGTTTTGAGTCATGCCATTAGGTCAAAATGATGCAATTGAACTCATAAGATCATTCCTCAAACCAATTAACCATTTGCTAGGCCAAAAATTAGAAATTGCCCTTTCTCAGTCAAAACCCTAATTTTAACCATTTTGCCCTTTTGATGATTTGGTCAAATTTCTTGAGGAATTATGGTCCAAACTTGATCAAGTGATACATATGAGTTCATATTGTTGATATGGATCAAAAATTATGAAGTTTGACTGTAAATTGGCCACAATTGACTTTTTCTCCAATACAATTGATTTTTAGGGCAATTGGTCAATTGACTGGGCAAAAATGTGATTCAATGCTTGAAACTTGACATGAGTAATCTTGGGAGTACATAATGGTCCATGAAAGTAATATGAGGCATTGAAAGTTCAATTATCCTTGTGCAATCTCAAACCCTAATTTCAGTCGTCAGTGTTTAAGGAGGTGTCTTGAGCTGATCAAACCTTGTGCAGTCTTGAACCAAAGGAGATCTTGTGAGAAAATATTTGATAAATGAGAGGACAAATTTTGGGGTACAACAGTCTCCATTTGGGTTGGATGCCAAGGCCCATAATGGAGACTGTCAGGATCCTACGTGGGTAGATGGGGTCGGTTCGTGGTCCGTATCCTGGCTCAATTGCTTCACGATCTCGGAGGAGAAGACTCGTTCTTTTCGGGAGCAGGATGACTTCGTATTATTTGAAGGAACGTTGGTCACGTACCTTTGCCATGTGCCCGAGCATGGTGCCTATGTCAGGCATACTGGCATGGTGTTCGTGTCAGGCATGTAGACATGGTGCTCATGTCGGGTATGATGTGCCTGTCAGGCACATTGAAAGGAAGTCCCGACAGGCACGTCGGGGAAAGACTCAATTTGTGCACGTGTCGAGGAGGATGTCCTCGACAGGGGAGTGAGGGAAGAGTCCCCCAATAGTCATAATAGTGTGGACCGCTGTATTGGGTATTCTTCCTAGCAGAAATGGATCGAGCCTTGTTCTAAGTGCATGCCCAGTCCAAAACTGTTAACAATCATATAATTACAAACATAGTAAGTGTCTTGAACTCGTGCGTCTATTTATTAAAAAAAGTGTAACTTGTTCTCGTTTATATAAATAATTGTATCAATAGTTGAATTTTTTCCGTTTATAAAAATATTTGTAACTTATTCCCATTTATAAAAATTATTGTAACTTATTTCCGGTTATAAAAATTATTGTAACTTGTTCCTGGTTATAAAAATAATTATATCAATATATAGACTTTTTTCGTCTATAAGTGCATTGAACCCGTGTGACGATTTATAAAATTATTTTTAACTTATTCCTATTAAAAACAATTGCATTAATTATTGATTTTTTTCGTTGATAAAAATATTAGTAACTTATTCCCGTTTATAAAAATTATTGTAACTTATTTCTGTTTATATAAATAATTATATTAACATGTAGACTTTTTCCCATTTATAAGTGCTTTGAACCTGTGTACCATTTATAAAAATATTTTTAACTTATTCATGTTAAAAACAATTATATCAATAATTGAATTTTTATCTTTTATAAAAATATATCGCCTATTAGTGATAAATATTGAATTTATTATTTTAATGTCTAGTTAATTTGCTGCCAAGTAAATTGAACATTCTAACTAATTATAATAAATATTATATAAGAAAAAGACAAACTTAAAAAGATTAAGTAAGCAAAATTATTAATCCAAAGATCAAGGAAAAGTATTAGGCATGTTAAAATTATGAAATTAATGTTAAAAAATTAAAAGAAAGCCTTGAATCCAAAGGTCCAGATGATTAGATTAATTCATTTCAGAGCTACATCTGCATTTAACTTTGAAATAATGTGCAACCAAACAAAACTAAACTATTGATTATCACCCAAAGAATTAGAAAAAATAAAAAATAAAAAACATAAAAAACTCCAAAACCAAACCTTCTTCCATTTGTTATCACAAAAGTGAAATCAATGACACGGAAAGCAAGTTACATCTGAATCCTGAGAAAGATTTAACAAATGCTTCACCGTACATATCCCTTTCTCAGTATTGGACCATACTCTTGTAAAAAAGATAGTTTAGAGACTTCAAAAAACTTGCAGACCTATAATCCAAAGTCATATTTTAGCCCTGTAAATGACATATTTCATACACAGTAATTAAAAATCATATAACAAACCAACGTATCTATAAAAATCATACAATCATCAACTGCAAAGCTTCACTTGTTACCCCTCGGGAATTCATAATCTCTAGGTTTCCTAAAAAGAGATCCAAATAATTATGCATTGTAACTTTGGCTATAACCCAACCGACTGCTGCCCCATAGTGACAGATGAATTATTGATAAGGCAGCAACTGATGGGACATATCAATATAAAAATCTATATTTATAAGTACGTTTCTTTAAGTCCTCTTTGAGAAATAAAACATAAGGAATTAAAGCTACTAAATTTTGAAGGATTTTACTTTGTACTATAGCTTAGTGCTAAAAATAAGTTACATTAACTATGCATCTAAATAATATTTGGAAAGACTAGTAGTATTTAATGTAGTCTAAAAAGTTAAACCCTTTTGCCCCTACTTCACCTTTTTAAGAATCAGTTGTCTCATGCTTTGCCTAAATTTTTCAATGAAAGATTTGGTCCAAAAATTGAGAATAAGTTAATTTAACAATAGTCTTCATGATGTATTGGTACATCTCCATCATCAGGTTCTTTATCATCTTGAACCATTACCATTTGATCTACGATTCCTAAGCTATGAAGCCACTCTTTTACCTTTAGAAGAAAGTTATTAATAAAATATCATATAGAAATTCCGTCTAATCAACAACCAAATACAAAAAAAATAGAATTTCATAAACTTCAACATTATCTCAATGTAGTTTTATGACAATTATAAACAACCAAATTAGATAATAAAAAGTTTTAAAAACAAAGCAAGAGGTCTAAGCTGCTACATAAAAAACAGCTTCCGTGTTTTCAAATAGGTAGGACAAACATATATGGTCCAGTGGTAAGTTCAAAGAACATAATACAACACCTGGCCATTGTTTCCAAGAGTTTCTATCATCATAAGTGCGCCGGGCAACAATATTGTTATTATCCAACCATACAAATACTTTAAATATGCTAAGAATTTAACCGATTTATAACCCTACCCCATTCATAAACTGGATACATATACAAACAATAAATCAAGCATTTAAAGTATTTTTAATTTTAAACTCAAACAAAATCATAGCTATACATAAAATAAAAATTAATGGCTATTAACATTCATCCCAGAGAAGTGAGAAACTTAGGTTTCCAAGATATTGCTTTAAAACACATAGTTATAAATTTTTACCAAGATCTTGGTGAGTTAAAATTGAATATTTATTTGGAAGTTATTATCTTTGAACACTCTTTGAAGCAACAATTTAATGATGATGATGATGATGATGATGATATCTTTTCCAAATTTGGTTCAATGGAGAGAGACCTTCAGTGGTCAACAATTGCTTATGCTAATGGGTGGCATGAATTTCTCTCAATGCTCGACACGTCTTCAGTAATTGCTTCTGCCAATGGGTGGCATGACTTGCAGAAACTCAACATATCATACCCAAATCCTTTATCACACTAGACACGAGCCTCCTCTATCACACCAGCCTTGAGAGATAGAGATGACAGTGGAAAGCAAGTTGTGTTGGCTGTAATCAATAAAAAGTAGTAGTGATTAATATGAGAACATGAATTTGAGAACATTTGAATTCCACACTACTTTGATTACTGCATCATCACCAGTAAATTTTATGTGATATGAGATAACTGAAATCAATGATCTCTTCCTAACTGATTAAGCATGTCTTCTTTAGCTTTCTCGACTGCGGAAATAACAACTGCTTGCTCACCCAAAACTAACTGATCAAACAAACAACATCAAATCTGAACATAAGATAATTTTGAAAGTCAATAAAGTTAACTCAAATTTTGGAACATTGGCAGCAAGGCTGTTAAGAACAGCTTCAAGATATCCACACACTTTCTGAAACATCCATCTCAGCTCTTCTTAAAGACGCCAAAAAAAGGTCCAGTGCCTGTAAAAATCACTTCCCCTCCATCTTCAGGTGGCATAGATTCCACGACAACTCCATCCAAAATTCGCATTTTGTTGTAATAGATAACCTGAGAGACATCACATTACATTATATTGCATATATTTATGTCAACATCAATACACTCTAATTAAAATAAAAATTAGTGTACACGGCATATTGACCTAACAAAAGTTGATATTATTTCAGATCCATTGTAACCTTGCGTTTGCAGGAACAATGGAGAAGTATCCCAATTATATATATGCTTTAAACAATGTAACAACCATTCAAATCTACAAAATGGAAAATATAAATTAGCAGTAAACCTGTCATATTCAGACGCCCGTCATCGCCAATCTGGCAAAAGTCCATATTCAAATACTCTAAATTTGTTAAACCTGTCAAAGAGAAGCCAATTAAAGATCTATTGGACAAATTGAAAAACAAATAATCAACATGTTTCAGTCATGATGATAGTCAATGTGGTAGAAATTAAATATTTAACAAATTGAGAGTAAACACACCAGTGATCCATACACTAACTTGTTCTGGATTCAGAACCTTCAACAATGTTCTGGAAAAAAACCACCACAAGATTTCAAAATTCTTAACTCGATCAAATTGTGTCCAACAAATTATCAACTACTTAAGATTTGGAAATATTAAAACACTACACCAAGACATCAACATAATTAAACTCAAAACATAACAAAATAATAACAAAATACTTGCTCAAACTACGTCTAAAAAAATATAAAATTCTATTGTGCAGAGCATCCAGAGCTTCTAATTGGTTATTGCTTGTCAAAGCAGAAGTTGTTGTCAATGAAGCTTTTAATAATGCTTAAACCCTGTAACATCAAATCAAAAACTGTTAGATTTTTTAAACCCGGTGCAAGTAATATACTAAATTTCAAGCACAACTATACCTCTTTCATTCCGAGAGAAAAAGGAGTTACTGACAAAGAGAAAAAGGAGTGGGAGCGGTGAAATTGAATTTGATTTTGATAAATAAATAGATCTATGGAACTCCAACCGCCACTTCCTCTTATTTAATTCCTATGAAACAAAAACTCTAATTCGATTATAACCTAACCCTAAAAACCAAAATTGAAACCACAAAAGAAGAAGAAAAAATGAAAAACCTTAGGGCAACAGATGAATTTGACATGGCCACGACCATGCTTGTTGCGACCCCCATTCCTGCGCTTGAACGTCTGAAACGAAGAAATTAACAGGTTAGGATGAGAATATCATATGCAAAATCGTGATTGGGATTGCGACTGAATCTAATAATTGTTGGCGAAACTTGGAGATGTTCGACTGCAGTGTCTCTGAAGCCATATTAATATGGTTTAGCTGAATTGCAAATGAGTGAAACGTAGGAAAGGAAGATGTTGCAATCTAAACCGTGAGTTTTATGTTCCAAGAACAAAATAATTCGGCTGACTTTTTAATTTCGACTGCAACTATAAATATTATGTATGATTCGTTCAAATAATTCAAGTAATTAGTGGAATTAAAAAAAAAATTACAACAAAAATTCTGGACATGTCAGGTCAGCAATATTAAATATTAAATCAATATAAAATAAATTGTGTGTAATTAGTCAATTTTACCCTTGTAATTAGATTAGTTTTAACTTTTAAACATATAATTTATCATATAATTAATAGATACTTTATTTTTTATATAATTATGATAAATTATCTTCACTATTTTTATATAATTATAATAGATTGTCTTCACTATTATATTTATCTTTTTTATAATCGTTAATATTATTATTTTCATTAATGCTCCTACCGGCCAGATTGGTGGTGACTGGTGAGATAGCTACTATTTTAATAGAATGTCTAATTTAGTTAGATGCACATCTAAAAAAAATATACACCAATACATAACTATTAATTTTAATTCAACTTATATTATCTATTTCAGAAAAAGTTCTTATAAATATCTGATAATATTAAGTAAAATAACATTAATAATTTTTCAATATTTTAATACAATTTTTCTAAAATAAAATATAATTAGTACGGAAGAGTTAGTATTCAATTCAGCTTATTTAATCACTTTCTTAAAAAGTTCTTATAAATATCTAATAATATAATAAAGAAAATAATATTAATAATTTGTTACTATTTTAATACAATTTTTTCCTAGAATAACATATAATTAAAATGGAAGAAATATTATTTAATTCAACTTATTTAATCACTTTCTTAAAAAATGTGTATATTTTAAAAATTGTGTTATTTGAACTCTCGAATGTTGACACCGTATTTCAACATCGTATTCCAACACCCTATATATATAACATGTGACTCATTATAACCGTTGATGTGACTAAAAGAGAGAATAAATATATGGTGGTTGACACCTAAAAAGGTGTTAAAATACCATTTCTCATATTTTAATTTTGAATAAAGATAACATTTAGTACAAAACAACGTGGAGTAAAATGAGTCACATGTATATATATATATATATATATATATATATATATATATATATATATATATATATATATATATATATATATATATATATATATATATATATATATATATATATATATATATATATATATATATATATATATATATATATATATATATATATATATATATATATATATATATATATATATATATATATATATATATATATATATATATATATATATATATATATATATATATATATATATATATATATATATATATATATATATATATATATATATATATATATATATATATACACACTCAAAATAATAGTTGCTACTCTATCTTTCTTATCCCCTTTACTTTCCACACAAATCAAAACAAAAAACCGAAGAATTCAGAGTCTAAAATGGCAGAAACTCCAAAGAAAAAAGGCCACATAGTGATGATACCATTCATGGCACATGGTCATCTAATTCCCTTCCTAGCACTAGCAAGAAAAATCCAAGAAACAGCACCATCCACCTTCACAATCACCATAGCCACCACTCCTCTCAACATTCAATATCTCAAATCTGCAATTTCCACAACCTTTTCTGATATCTCAATCCATCTTGCAGATCTACCTCTCAACCATAGCCTATATGGTTTACCACCAAACATAGAGAACACAGAGAAACTTCCTTTAACTGATATCATCAAACTCTTTCAAGCTTCAACAAGCCTTGAAGCTCCTCTTAGCTCTTTGATATCAAAGATCACAGAACAGGAGGGTCAACCTCCAGTTTGTGTTATATCAGATGTGTTTCTTGGTTGGGTTGTCAATTTTGCAAAGAGTTTAGGTAGTAGGAGTATAACTTTCACAACTTGTGGTGCTTATGGAACTTTGGCTTATATCTCTATTTGGGCTAACCTACCTCATAGGAAAACTGATTCTGATGAGTTTTGGACTCCAGGGTTCCCTCAGAACTACAGATTTCATAGAACTCAGCTGCATAGATATCTAAGAGATGCTGATGGAACTGATAGCTGGTCAAAATTCTTCCCTGCACAGCTAGCATTTTCTATGAAATCTGATGGGTGGATTTGCAACACTGTTGAGGAGATTGAGACTTTAGGGCTGCAACTATTGAAGAACTATCTTCAACTTCCTGTTTGGAATGTTGGTCCCCTTCTTCCGCCCAAGGGTTCGAATTCAAAGTACCGTGCGGGAAAAGAATCCGGGATAGCTCTTGAAGAATGCATTGAGTGGCTTGATTTGAAAGATGAGAATTCTGTTCTTTACATCTCTTTTGGATCACAGAACACTGTAAGTGCTTCACAAATGAAGGCTTTGGCCGAAGGTTTGGAAGAAAGTGGAGTTTTTTTTATTTGGGTCATTAGGCCACCTTTCGGTTTCGACATTAATGCAGAGTTTAAGGCAGAATGGTTACCAGAAGGATTTGAAGAGAGAATGAAACTTAGCAAAAGGGGTTTGTTGGTGCATAAATGGGGACCTCAGTTGGAGATTCTGTCACACAATTCAACAGGAGCATTTCTAAGTCATTGTGGATGGAATTCTGTTTTGGAGAGTCTTAGTCAAGGAGTGCCAATTATTAGTTGGCCACTTGCAGCAGAACAAGCATACAATGCAAAGATGTTGGTGGAAGAAATGGGTGTGTGTGTGGAATTGACAAGAACTGTTGAAAGTGTGATTTCTAAGGATGATGTGAAGAGGGTTATAAAAATAGTTATGGATCAAGAAGGGAAGGGAAAAGATATGAAGGAGAAGGCAAAACAGATTGCTCTACACATGAAAGAGGCAACAGTAGAAAGAGGTGAAGAAAAGGGGTCTTCATTGAGAGCAATTGATGATTTTGTTAGAACCATTTTACAAATATAAGTTTCTATGTATTGTTGCATTTGAATTTGACAAAGTACTTGTCATAAACTGCTCGATAAACTTCTAGCATAAATTTCTCAACATTGATTGTTTGACACAAATTTTGCAGCACCTATTAGTTTTGCACTTTTGTAGTCAGATATTACTTGTGATCATTTTTTTGTGAATAATTAGTATGTCATCAAAGTGAGATATGATATGCAACTTAAAATAACACTGAACAATAATTGTACTATCTTTTCTCTTTTCTTGTTTATTTGGACATTCTTGGATGGAGGGTAGAGGATTCTCCAAATACTTCCTATCAAACAAGTCTGCTGCCTACGATATGATACATATACAATATATGCAAGACACCAAATTTACGTAGAGAACACGAGGGAAAAAAATAAAAACTACATTTTCTAATTCATTTGTGTATGATGTAGCCACCACCCTGCCATCAAAATGATTCGTACTCACATAACCACCTCAGTATCAAATAAAACTTTGATGCTTCAGTTTCGATGCTTTTTCAGCATAGGTTCTGATACCTGCCAAAATTTTGCATGTAAACAAATATCAATATCTACGGTGAAACTAGTTAGTTTTCTTCTGATTTGTATTGGATTATTGATGACACATATTTAAGTAAAAGGAAAACTTACAGTGCAAGAAAGTTGCTCGCGGATATAAGACATTGATCGTAGTACAGCACCCAATGCATCCCTGGACACTTGAAACTTTACTTCAGACTCACCAGAAGCATGAGCATCCTCAAGCTGAAACAGCTTAAACAATTTCAACAAACTTACAAGTAATTATTGAAAGTAAATAAAGTCTTTTCAGAATGTACCTTTCCTACAATAACTAAAATTAGAACCATTATTTCTCCCAATGATAATAATAACAATAATAATAATAATATACAACAACAACATCAATAACCAAGTCTTATCCCACTAAATGGGGTCGACTACATGAATCAACTTTCGCTATAATGTTCTGTCCAAGACCATGCTTCTAGCCATAATAATAATAATAATATAATACCATTATTTTCTTTCCGTTTCCTTTTATTCTTTACTACTTATATGAGTGGAAAAGTGGGGGAAAATTGAATGCAATCAATGTAATGTCTTTTTCACCTTGATAAAATAAGAACCAAATAGACCCCACATTAAATGAGAGACAAACACATCCGTAAAATTAAAGAGAGTAACTTGTCTGCTTGAAATTGTATTCTCTCCACTTCAGAGAAAACTTTAATGTGGCCCCCACATCAAACTTCTTTACTCCTACCCTATATTCTCTCCATAACCAAATGAGAGAAAATGGGGCATTGCTATAATTTTCTCTACACACCCAATTTCCATACTTCCACTTTCTCTTGAAAAATGACTACAAGGAGGTGAGACCCGGTCGGTCAGAGAGGAAGATGAATACTGTTATATATAGACCAAGCCATGAACAGGTCTTATATAATAATACGCACACAAATTTCACACACAACCAAAGAATCTGAGAGACATCGTATTATAAAAAATAAAAAATAAAAATACGAGACATCCACAATTAACAGAACTATTACTCAACATAAATTCTATTTGCGTCAAAATATGGCTTCCAAATTTTAGAATGGCAATTCTTTTTCAGCCTTTCAATGCAAAGGAATGAAGCTCAATATTTATTCCCTTCTTCTCTGTTGTCAATCTATTTTAAAGTTAAAATCTTCTTGGTACGAAAAGAAGTGCATTGATATACGAGTTTCGTTCCAGTAGTAGAATAATAAAGAAACAAAGCATGCTGACATGACAGGGCATATTAGAGAACGGCAAGTCTTAAGATCAAAATAACATACCTTAAGATTTACTACAGCAACCTTATTGGCTGTTGTTGAAAGTTGTTCGCTGACTTCAGCCATAGACTTCAAAACAGGTTCCACAGTATCTCGAGAGAGATGGAACTTAACTTCATATTCTGCTGATGGACCCTTGCTGTAATCTTGCAACTGCAATTGAAGTGTGTTAAATGACTTGCAATCCTCAATTAGATAGTTAAAATGTTGCAAAAGTGGATAAAAGCAGAGTAGACTATTAAATGCTAAAGAAAACTTTATACCCAAAAAAGAGCTTTGGTCGATGGTCAACCAAATGGCAGAGGTTTCTCAAATGAAGCACAGTTATCTAAACAATTTTAAATAAATTAAGAATGCTACTGACATTTTTCCGTTGTTGAGATTGTTGTGAGCATACCTTGAGATTGATAACAGCTACTTTGTTCTCCTGGGTTGAGGTTTTGTTCTCCATTACCCACGTCATTGACTTCAGACATGGAAGAACCACCTACATGACAGAATAAAAGGGCTAGCTTAATGCTATGAAGGGTATTCCAATCTCAAGAACATATTTAAAAAAAGCAACAAAAACAAAAAGAGGTTTTTCTTGACATACAGTGTTTTCCGGAAGACCATCATCTTGCTGAAGAGGCACAGGTGGTGGATGATCATCTTGCTGAAGAGGCATCGGGGATGGACCATCAACTCGCCTACGAGGCACTGGCCGTGGACCATCAACTCGCTGACGAGGCCCAGGGGATGGACCATCAACTCGCTGACGATGCACTGGGGGTGGAACATCAATTCGCTTATGTGGTGTTGGGGTTATTTGAGGTAAATTCAGATCAGCAACTGGTTGAACATGAGTACCGGCATCGTTAAGATTAAACCTTGTTGTTTCTCCGTTTAGTGGCCATAAAATAGGGGTTGTTCTTGTATCTGATGTTGAAATATGGGTTTTCTTGTCGGCACAAGCATTCTCGCTGACTCGATGATTAGTTGGTGAAACTTTGGCAATACTCCTCTTCATGACAGAAATTTTCTTTACACCTTCTCTAAGAGCACCCATTGCAGCATCATAAGTTTCCATTGCTACAGCCCCTTCCTCAGCATATTGGATGGCTTCCCGACACAGATTGGTATACCGTGATGTCAAAGACTCATGTGCATGTGATTCACCACCACATTCATCCAATACAACACTGCTTTTTGCATCCCTTGTCCACCGTTTTAAGATGTAGTGGGATGGAATGGTGAATACATTAGACACAGTGAAAACAGTTAAAACATGCCTGCAAAGAATGCCTGAATACTCAAACATTTGGCAACTACAGTTAGCTTTCAACTCGGAATGGTTTAATGTGACAGTATATGACTTTTGGACATCATCAAATTTTGCAACTCTAAATATGCTATTTGCCCCATCCTCTTCAATTCTGTTGGCAGTATAAGCAAAAGTTTCAACTAGCTCTTCTTGAAACTTCAAAAATATTTTCCGTGTATAAAGCTTAGCAACTTGATTCTCCATTGGTGAAGGTGTCTTTAGAACTGGTGTAGCGCTAAGTGTCTCAAAATCTGATTCTATTTCCCTTTCAAACCATCTCTCCAAAGCTAGTTCATACTGCCTAAAGAACATTGGTAATGTTGTATGCTGGTTTACAATACCGTCAAAAAAAGAACCATCAAATCCTTGATTAGGAGATAATACAGCGAAAAATGAATCACGGAAATATGCTGGAACCCATTGATCACGAGCACTATACAAAGACTGAAGCCAATCATGCCCTCTGAGTCCATATTTATCCATGATAGAATTCCAAGAAAATTCAAACTCCTCAATTGTTTCTGTCAGATTAATACAATTATAAAGTTCATAATGAAAATGTGGATGCAAGCGACATAAATGGCCCAACTTTTCGTGGCCTTCTCGCAAGACATAACGCTTGTTTATACAATGACGTGCTTGGCGGAAAACTTGGGAAACTGCCGATTGTATGGATCTGTCCTGATCGGTAGTTATAGAGAGAGGGTGACGGTCGTTCATCGCTGCTAGAAACGTCTTGAAGAGCCAACCAAAAGAAGCCTCAGAATCATCAAAAATTAGTGCACAACCAAACAAAACCATCTGACCATGATGGTTAATCCCAGTGAATGGAGCAAACGGCACATTATATTGATTTGCTCTATGTGTTGTGTCCAGAGTTACTGCATCACCAAAATGACTGTAAGCCGTCCTTGATCTTGCATCTGCCCAAAATACATTGGACACACGATTATCTTCATCAAGTTGTATTGCATAGAAGAAACCAGGGTTTTCAGCCTGCACTTTCTTAAAATACTCCAGCAGGCTCTGAGCCTCCCTCCCTAATGTCTTCTTTTGAATAGGTTGCCTCACAGTATAACTCTTCAATGGGGAATTTTTAGCTGAATGACTCGTTTTGGCAGCAGCACCTGCAGGATAATTCCTACTCTTGTGACTATTCTTGGAGGAAACATGATTTCCATCAATAGATATATACATGACACCAGTGGGAACAAGCCCCACTCCTTTGTAAGTCTCAGGCATGGTTCTTCCGACACTAGAAAAATGCTTCAGCGGTCGAAATTTTTCCACCTTATCACCTACCGCCGTAGAATGACTATGCTCCTTCACAAACTTCGTAACAACCCACTTATTTTGACCCTTTTGCTCTATCCTAATCATTGCCTCACAACTTTCAGTCATCTTTCTTTTCAAACCTTCCCTGCTACAAACAAACTCCCTAAACATATTTGTCCCATCAGCATTAAATTGACCATGCAACCCAGCTCTGGAGCTAAAACCCGCCCGTCTAGCATACTCACTATAAAAAGTTTTGGCAGAATCTTCCGAATCAAATTCCATACCCAAATACGGCTCAAAAACCAAACCCTCAGCAAGTGATCCAGAGTTTCCCGCATTATTAACTTCACCAAGTTCACCACCCTCACCATTCTCCATATCTCGATTACCACTTCCTTCTCCAATAGGTATCACATGAACATCCATTACAAACAATTTATACCGCTAAATCATCGAGTCCCTATTTATACTTAGCAAGAGCTTCACAAGTTGCGTGTATAGTCTAAGTTTCTATGAGCCACCATGCAAACCCAAAATTTCAACAAAACACCACTCTTTGTTTTTCTCCATGCATATTAAATT